TCACAGTAATTATTAGTTTATTAATAATATATTTTTATATCATATTTTAATTAATAATATTCGATACTCGTCGACCTCCTCGCGGTTCCCCCTGGAAACTATCATGGTTAATTCCTGATGAGTTCATCATGATGGGCTAACTGGCCTGTTTTCATTCTCATCTATCACCCTTCACTGGTGCTCCGCCAGTGTATCCCGTTAGCGCAGGCGGGGTTACCATACCATTAACACCCATCAAAAGGGGGGAAAGGGATTATTAGTAATGGAGATTGAGAATCCCATTGCTAGCAATATGCCCGATCAGGTCGACCTCCTCGCGGTTCCCCTTGGAAACTATCATGGTTAATTCCTGATAAGTTCATCATGATGGGCTAACTGGCCTGTTTTCATTCTCATCTATCACCCTTCACTGGTGCTCCGCCAGCGTATCCCGTTAGCGCAGGCGGGGTTACCATACCATTTTCATCCAATAAAAAAAAAACACCCATCAAAAAAAAAATTCGTTACTCAAATAATATTCAATATAAGTATAACTTATAGATTAATGCAGATATTTACCTTTATAATTTTATTTTACTTATTAAAATGGCTCGTCAAATTTTTAATGTTATTCTTGAAAAATAAAAATTATTAGGGCTGTCCCAACATTACATTATCTCGTAAAACATTTCAACCAAATTATTTGCAAATGAACGGGTATTAGATTAATCCAAATTAAAATATTAATAGCCAAATCAAACAGCGAGTTAACCTCGCCGCGTTTGGATTCAATCAGCCCACCCCTAGGCTTAATAAATTGTATTAAACCTTGATTAATTAATTTAATCGTGTTAAGGCATAATCTCCGCTCTAAATTTGCTAAAGAATATGATTACTGTGACATAAATGACGCCATATTGTAAGACTAGCTGTATCCCATTTCATCGCACGCGTAAATTAGGACATAAAGTAACTTATATGTTAAGTTAGGATATAACCTACTTGTGTACCAAAGGTCATTGAATTAAGTTTTTTTTTTTATTCAAGGTTATCGTGAGGGGGTATTACCAGTAGTTGCTACGTTTAGTAGGCGGATTTGCAACCGCAGTTAGGCTTTTAGTGATCTTTTAAAAGAGATGTTGCAACCCATCTGTCAGTCATTAAATTCCCCTAATCATCTCTTACGACACCCATGGGAAATGAAGGGATGGCCCATTCTATGCTGAGACTACATAGATAACACTCATATTAATAGGATTTAATCAACATACCCTGTTTATTCAGTTCAGAAAGTGAAAACTACAAGCGTAGGCATAAAAAAAGCTTTCATTTCAAAATTTCCAATAATAAATTCACAAATTGGATTTTCATTAATCCAGTCTGACGTTTGTCCTTTGCCGATATTCGGCTTTTATTCATAAACGTATTTAAACAAACAACACAGCATTTGCGCGGTGGAATTAATATCTTTTGTCTAAAGTTATATTTCGATATAAATTGAAATTACAAATGTACACATAGACAGTTCGTTTAAAATTTAATTAAACCAGAACACTAAACTAAATTCCACATAAACTGCGTGCATAACTTACAACAGATCATTAATTAATTCGTTCGAAAATTTAATTAAACCCAGAATTTAATGTATAAATAATTACAATTTTATTAGTGAGATTTATAGCTGTTTAAAATGTGAAAACCTCACTACCTTTTCATGGTATGTCCAAGTGGTTTTAACTCACAGTGCTTCATACGATACCGAGAGCCAATCAAAATCACTTGACGTGTTTTATTTTATTACTCGTCTGTACAAATCTAGTTAATTAATTTTCAACCTTATTCGAAAAGCACGAAGGATGCTCGATTCGATTGCAAAAAATAAATTCATCAATCAAACCTATTTAGAATTGGCAAACATATCGCCTAACACATGGCAAATACAATTGAATTGTCAACTTTTTATGTCGTTGGTTAAAATAGGTTGTTATTATTAAAACATGGTGGAACTCTGAAACACACAAGTGTAAAGTGCAAAGTACTAACTGTTTGGAAGGGGGGGAAAAGGATTGTTAGCAATGGAGTTTGACAGCCCCATTGCTAGCAATATGCCTTATTAGGTCGACCTCCACGTGGTTCCCTCTGGAAACCATCGTGAATAATTCTTGTTGAATTCGTCACGATGGGCTAACTGACCTGCTTTTTCCTTATCTATCATCCTTTACTGGTGCCCCGCCGGTGTATACCGATAGCGCGGGTGGGGTTACCATTCCATTATCATCCATTAAAAAAAAACTGTTTGGAAGATTATAATTTTCAACCGACTCCAGAAAGAAAGAGGTTCCGAATTTGGTTATATTTTCTTTATTTTGTTGCCTCATACCTCCGTCAGTTGTAAACCGAATTGGAAAATTCTTTTTTTTATCTGAAAAGAGATATACTTATAGTTTGGTCTCGTAGAAATTTTATATAATTTGGTTTAATAGTTTACTTTTGAAATTAAAATAAGTGATTTTGCCATTAATTAAGTTAGTTTTTTTTTGTAGAACACAATCTTAATTATATATATATCGTGTTTCTACCATAAAGCAGTTGTGTTTGCATAGCTGTGTTTCGGTTTGAAAGGTGGGATATGGTAGTGAATTTACAGGGTACAGAGGAGTAACACCTGAGTCCTCAGGAATGGCAACGCATGGGGGGTATCATGGGCAAAACAGTATACTCTGTTATGCCCATGGCACTGCTCATGTCTATAGGCGACGGTTACCACTTTCCATCAGGTGGGCCGTCAACTTGTTTGCCATAGAATGGCATAATAAAAAAGTTGCATAAAAAAGGCTTATTATAATAAAGTATACACCAGATTTTAAGTCAGACTTTTAAGTATAAAATTTTTTAAACCATTCACGCAGTAGTTTTTACGTGATTACGGAATAAACATACAGACTGGAGGAGATACTGAAGGACAGACAGGAATTCTAAAAATTTATTCCCAATACTGCATTCCAAATTTTTTTATGATACTTAGATACTAATTAACTTTTATAGACAACGGTTACCACTTTCCATCAGGTGGGCTGTAAACTTGTTTGCCGTTCTAGGTTGTATAAGAAAAAAGATGTATTTGTATACAGTATAGCCTATAGGTATGTATGGTAAGATTGAAATGTTCCACCCAACATCTGCCCGATGATTGAATTCCTAATGAAATTGCTCGTCTATCGAGCGATTTAATATTTATACACCGCTCGGCCCCCTTCGGAATTCTGTATGCGACGTCGCATTTAGTGTCGATTCCAAAGGGGACGAAATTCTTAATTCGTCAATTTTCGTCGTTTCGTCTCAATTCTGTTTTTTATTATTTTTTAATTATGAACTTATTTCGTCGGTTATTTTCACGGTATTACTTTTAGTAATGATTTCATATGGGAGGAGATTCTCAATTCGTCTCTTTTTTTGTATATTTGCCAATTCAGCACCGATTACGATGATTCTATGTACATACTATGTCGGTTTTAGTAATGCTTTCAAACGGGAGATTCTCAATTCATCTGTTTTATCTTCTCCAATTATGAACTTATTTCGTCGGTTATGGTGTTACTTTTAGTAATGATTTTATACGGGACGAGAATCTCAATTCATCTCGTTTTATATTCGCCAATTCAGCACCAATTACGATAATTCTATATACCATGTCGCTTTTAGATTACTAATGCATTAGCATTCGAATAGAAGGAAATTCTCAACTCATCCGTTTTATCCTCACCAATTCTGAACCGATTACGTCGATTCTAATACGGTATCACTTTTAATTATGATTTCATAGTGGAGGAGATTCTCTATTCGTCTCGTATATATTCGCCAATTCAGCATCAATTATTTATTTATTTTTATTTATTTATTCATTAGTACAAATATGTGTACATGGCGGACTTAATGCTAAAAGTATTCTCTCCCAGTCAACCATAGGGAAGTGTCAGAATACTCGAATACGGTACTACTAATTATTGATATACATACATACTAAAATTACATATATAAACGAATAAATATATATGAATAACAAATATACTTACACATATATGATATATACTATATTATACACGAAATTAAGAATAATATAAACTATAGAAATACAATAGAATAATATACTTAATTTTTCATATTTCAATTAACTTATATAATGGAAATACGAAAAGATTATAGGAAATAGTGCACTAGTGACCAGTTTAATGGAACCGACGATTGAATTTCTGATGAAATTGCTACCGTCAACAGAGTTATCTAATATTTATAGAACGAGTTTGATATTTATAAAAAAAATGTATTTTTTTATTGAAACTTTAAACAAAATAACTATACGAGTTCTTATCAAAACATAATATAAGATTAATAAAGTGAATAATTTACACGAAGTATTACGTCTTGTTAATTATTGGCCGTGTGTCCCGGCATAGCCGTGTGGTTCCGGCATAGAATAAGCCAGCTTTTTTCTCGTGGGTATCGTAAGAGGCGACTAAGGGAACATAATGATAAAAGGATGGATAGCAGCGTCCATCTTAAAACATCATTAAAGCCTGCAGTTGCCAACCCGCCTGCCAATTGTGGCAACTAATGTCAAAACTCCACTTATGGGGAAAGCTTATGTTTAACAGTGAACAGTTGACGGCTGGTGTGATGATCACTTCATGTAAATTATTTACGACGATAAAATAGTTCATTAACGCAATTCGACATTTATAATTTTTTCTATGCAATTTCTTTAGTGTACTAAATTGGCGATATTATGGACTGTATGTTGATGTATATGAGGTCAGAGGGAAAAAAATGTTAGGACACTTGATACGACACGACAAACTTATGAACATTGTAATAGAAGATAAGACAGAAGGAAGGAGGAGAAGAGGGAGACCAAAGCATTGTTACATCAGGCTCTCTAGACAAATCGTCATAGTCGTAGAATACTGACGGTTCTGACGAATATTACATATAAAGATCCGTCAGTATTCTACGACTATGACGAAATGGCAAACAAATTCGTCGATGAAATCGACATCGCTAGCGAGTCTGTGAGATAGAATGAGATAGCAACGCCGGGTGACTCATTTCAACTTACAGACTTGCTAGCGATGTCGATTCCATTGACGAATTCGCTTGCCACTTTTCTAGAGGGCCAGCAGATCAAGAAGAAAGTTGGTGTCGTGTCGTATTAAGAGGAAAAGAGACTCGCAGAAAATCGTATTGAGTAGCAAAAGCTCTACCGACAAGAGCGCAGCTCTTAAATAAGATAGAAAGATAGTTGATATATTAAGTAAATTTAAACAATGGGTTTAAAGGAAAATAACTATAAGGAAAAAAGTTACAAAAGACAGACTACGGAAGCGACAAAGAGCAATCGACAATTATAAAAACAAAAAATATAAAAATATTATGAAAATAAAATCTATATGAAAACTAAGGAGTTTGCAACACTAATTTTAATTTGAACTTACTATATCTTACTAATAGGATGTGTATATGGGAGGAAAGGGATTGTTAGCAATGGAGTTTGACAACCCCATTGCCAGCAACATGGCCTATTAGATCGACCTCCGCGTGGTTCCCCCTGGAAACCATTGTGAACAATTCTTGTTGAATTCGTCACGATGGACCAATTGACCTGCTTCATCCTCACCTATCATCCTTCACTGGTGCCCCGCCGGTGTATACCGATAGCGCAGGCGGGGATACCATTCCATTATTACCCATTAACAAAAAATAGGACGTGTATTAAATTTAGTAGATACATAGGTTAGAATATAGCCTACTATATCCTAAGTTAACCGTTGTAAATAGTAGGATGCAGTAATAAAACATATATTGGTGACGCCAGTTTAAAATTAATAACATTATTCATATTAGTATTTGCGCCTACTCGCTTTTCGCTATGGATAAAACTTTACATGCTCGCAATTTTAGTGGTTATCTGTGGGCTATGGACCGAATCTTTGTCGGTGCTGCCCTCTCGCGCCGATGCCCTTTTTCGAACTTCGTTTTGAGTAACCGCGACTGGCCGCTTTCCTACAACTTAATTAAAAAATAATATTTATCGGCTGTGCTCCGTGTCATCTTTCGGACCATCGAACCCCGGATCCTGTAGAGAGCTGCTGGAATTGTTCGCAGGTGAGTACCTATCTTATTTTTGAAATTACGAAAAGCGAGGTAAAAACCAGCCGGCGACCCGGCTCACATATCGAAGGAAATAATTGTTATTCTTATTGAAACCATTTCTTTCTGGTCCTATCGAACTTGGATGCCTTGCTAGTAATTTAATACGTATAATTGTATTGAAATAGGTAACAAACGTATCATAAGTTAATTGAATACGTTCGTTTAGGTAGGTAGATTTAACTTGCGTTCACTGCGTTACTGAAACGCCAACATAACACCTAAGTTATCGGGTTGTGTTTTGTTATTAGTCGCGGTTTTTAGCTATATTATAATACTCGACACTAAGTTAATTTGTCGTAGTATCTATAATAATTACGCCTAACAATAAGTTAATTTGTTAGAAGATTATTTTTAACATTTTTTGTGTAGGTAGTATAAAACTAAGTCGGACTTGTTTTAATAACTATATCATATTTACGCAATCTCTGCGGTATATCAAGCTATTTTTAAACAAGCATAGTGCACGTACCATCTTCGTTACCGAAATGTATTTAAATATATTTGATTATTAAAGAAAGAAATTTATTATATAGCAAAAAAAACTTTGCTATATTGTGGATACCTATATTTTTAAGAATAGTTCACATCTTTTGCATTGCTGTAATGCAGACAGCATTACATTAGGTGCATATTACATTTGTTTGTATAATATATACACTTAGCGGTTGCAAATATAGTATTATTTTGTCATATTTTTCTAATTTAGATTATTAATTACTTAAATATTCTCGTATGTACTGGAGTTTAAGTATCAGTACAAAAGGTAAATTATATGTAATTAGTAGCCATTTGTAGTAGAAGTTGTAATAGTAATAAGTTATTTCTCTCTCTGTCTATTCCTTTACATTGCGGTTTGTTTATTTATCTCATTTCAAAAGAAACGCCACATTATTGGGTACGCCCATGCAAAATTAGCTTAACTAAACAAAAAGTGTTGCTTTGAATATTGCTGTTGTTTAGGTAAAATTGTTTAACGATTGTTTATGCATTTACTGACACGTCATAAATTTATTATATTCAATTGAAAGTGTTAGCAAGTTAATGGAATTGTTGTTTAGTGATATGAGTGATATTTATTATATACCTGTTCAAGTATAAACAACGTTTACACATATTTGAGTATTGTAATTATTTGTTGAATTTATGAAAAATAATAATGACCTTAATTTTATTTAATTAGTATAGGTACATACCTATAGATACTGTGAGAACTAAGAATATACATAATTTTTTTAGTGGTTATCTATTGGTAATTGTAATAAACATGATTATTGACCTATAATCGAACATTAGTAATAACGAGGTGTCCCTATAGGTTTCTCTAACGGAATTTAATATTTTAAATAATTTATTTACTTGAAGTACTTATATATTTTTTTAATTTTATGTTAGTTTTAACTAGGTTTCTTGAAATTAAACATAACTTTATAAAAACAATACTTTTAAATAATTATCGTTTCTTATATAAACATATATGTTAATAAATCTTATTTAGTTTTTAAATTGTATATTATAGATAATTATCTTACCATGGTTCCATATATAAGGATCTTGAAAAGAAAATTAAATTGTATGAAGCTCAACGAGCTCGTTCTTTTAGTCGGGTGCAAGCCATTTATGACTTAATACCAGATATTTATAAAAATGAAACTATTAAAAAACAATTTTTGAGTAAAGTTCGTACCTTGGAACAGTTACGTTCTGAATTTAAGGAAATAGTAGAACAAATTAATTGGATGAATATTGAATTAAATAAATATTTTGAACCTTCCTTTTCGAGTTTAGATTCATTTGATGACTTATACTGTGAAATAAACCTGGTGTATGATCAGCTTTCTGCGTCATCCCAGTCTTCTCAGGCACAGCCTTTAAATGAAAAGGCTGTAACTGTAACGTCTAATAGTAATGATTATATGAAGATTCCCCGCATCGAGTTACCATTTTATAATGGCGATATACAGCAGTTCCCTTTCTTTTACGAAAGTTTCAAGCGTATGATACATGATAACAATAATTTAACAGATTCTGATAAAGTACATTATTTGTTTAATCAATTAACTGGTAAAGCCAGGTCTATAATTGTAGGCGTTGTACCTTCTGCGGAAAATTATTTAACAGTTTGGGAAACGTTAAAACTTAAATATTATGATAAACGTGAATTGGGTACTTCTTATTTGAATCAGTTACTTTCAATGAAACCTCTTGTTGGTGCTTCGGCACAAAATCTGGAAGATTTTATTGATAAGTTTGCAGCTACAATTGCTGCCTTAAATCAACTTAAGCTTGAAAATGTAACTGAATTTATTTTTGTTCATTTGGGTCTTAAGTTACTAGATCCTGATACTGCAAGAAGTTTCGAAATGTCGATTCGGAATAATAATGGTATGCCAGGTTATGAGGAGTTCGTTCATTTTGTGCGAGAACATGTTAAAGTTCTCTATCGAACCTCACAACCACGTCCTTCAATTAAAAATGAAAGATTTGTTAGCAAATCTACTAACAGTAATCGCTTGCGTACCAATCATGCACATGTTTCAACTGGTGATCCTCGTTCTAAGTGTCTGTTTTGCAACAGTGCAGTTCATGTAAAAATTTCAAATTGTGATAAATTCTTAAAATTGAATCCCATTGAGAGGTATCAATATGTAAAAGATAAGAAGTTGTGTACTAATTGTCTTAGTTCTCAACATTGGTCTTCCCGCTGTACGTCACAGCATGTTTGTAGTAAGTGTGACGGAAAGCATCACACGATTCTCCATTTTAATAATAAGCCTCCATCGCAAGCCACTGTGGCTCTTAGTAATACTGAACCATGTATTAATAATAAAGTGAACAATGGAGTTCAATTTGAAAGTGAAGGTGATCACCAAGTTTTAAATAATCAGGTATCTGAGGCAACATTGAGTCTAAACATTCCTTCTTTGTGTACAATGTCAACTGAAAAACGAGTTGTATCTCCAACTACTGAAGTTTTGGGTACAGCAAAGGTTGTTGCTGCTTGTCGTAATGGCAAAGAGATTTTAATTAGAGCTCTCCTTGATCCTGGTTCGCAGAAAAATTATATATCTGCCAAGGGTGCTAGACGACTAGGCTTATCTGTCAATAAAAGTTTATCAGCTTCAGTTAAAGGTATTGGTGGTTCTACTCAAGTTGTAAAGGGTAGCGTTAATTTTGTATTTCGTTCCACACTTCAACATGGGAAAAAGTATTCTATAGAAGCGCTTGTTTTAGAAAATATTACATCTAGATTGCCTACTTGCCCTATAGATATTACTAAAATATCTGGATTTGAGGTATTGCATTAGCAGATAATTCGTGGAGCGTCCCTAATGAAGTTGATTTATTAATAGGTGTACAATTGTTTACCAATGTATTATTGCCGGGTAAGATAGTTAATGCCCCAGGCCAACCGAGTGCTATCGAGACGACTTTAGGTTATATCGTTCTTGGTGATGCTCCTATTACGACAGTGTGTACTTCGTCTCTTAGTTTTTGTGCTACATATGAAGTCAATAATTTAATAAAAAAGTTTTGGGAAATTGAGGACTTAGGAAATTCTCCTATTCTCAGTCTAGAAGATAAACAGGCTGAGGATATATTTAAATCAACTGTTAAGCGAACTAGCTACGGTCAATATGAAGTTGCTTTACCTTTTAAACTTGATTCTGAAAATTTAGGAAATTCTTTGAAGGCTGCAGAGCGCAGTTATTTACGATTAGAATCGAAGCTTCGTTCTCAACCAGCAGTTAAGTTGGCGTATGATGAGGTTATTACTGACCACCTTAAAAAGGGATACTTGTCTGAAGTAGATATTGTGCCTCAAGAGAAAGCATATTATATTCCTCACCGGGCTGTTATTCGTGAGGATAAGATTACTACAAAACTGAGAGTCGTTCTTAATGCTAGTTTTCCTACTGACTCTGGTTTGTCTTTGAATGACATTTTGCATGCAGGCCCTAGTCTGCACGCGGATTTGTTTTCTATTTTATTAAATTTACGTTTGTTTCTAGTTGCTATCTCGGCAGATGTTCGTCAAATGTATTTAGCAATCCATGTTCGTGAAAAGGATCGTCCATTTCAGCGTATTTTGTATCGTTTTGATTCTAATGGACCAATCAAGGTTTATCAATATAACCGTGTTGCTTTCGGTTTGCGATCCAGTCCTTTTTTGGCGTTACGTACTATACAACAACTTTTGGAGGATGAAGGCGATCGTTTTCCTGTTGCCAAAGAAATTGTTTCTCGTGATATTTTCATGGACGATATCGTTAGTTCCATTATAAATGAACAGAAAGCTAACGATGCTGTGCGTGAGTTAAATGAGCTCTTCATGGCTGGGGGATTTGAATTGGCAAAATGGTCTTCCAATTCAGATCGTATATTACAGGAAATACCTGAAGACAGGCATTTGTCACAGAGTGTCTCATTTGATAGTGATGATGATGACAATACTTTCAAAATCTTGGGACTACGTTGGGATCCCATCGATGATAATTTTACCTTTCAGGTTAATCATGATGAACGTCCATGTACTAAACGACATATACTGTCATATATTGCTCGTTTGTTTGATGTTTTAGGGTTAGTGGCCCCTATTGTACTTTTCGCTAAATTATTAATTAAAGATTTATGGATAGCAAAGATTGATTGGGACGATTCTCCCCCAGAAAATATTGTTAAAAAATGGCATCAGTTTCAACGTGAGTTGCCCCTAATTGAGCAGCTTAAATTTCCTCGTCACATTGGTGTAACAGAAAATTGTAGGTTGACAATTCTTGGGTTTGCTGATGCAAGTGAGAGAGCGTATGGCGGAGTAGTTTATGCCTGTGTTACTACTCCTAATAATGACAATATAATCACTTTGGTTTGTGCCAAGTCCAAAGTGTCCCCATTAAAAATTGTGTCACTTGCAAGACTAGAGTTATGTGCGGCTTTAGTTCTTGCACAACTCATAAAAAAGGTTGTTTTTAATTACATGCCTCGGTTTTCTGTTCATACGATTTTAGCATTTTCGGATTCAACAGTAGCATTAAGTTGGATCCACTCAGAGCCCTATCGATGGCAAACTTTTGTAGGCAATCGTGTGGCAAAAATACATGAGAATTTGCCTAGTAAACATTTCTATCACATTCGGGGATTAGATAACCCTAGTGATTGTTTATCTCGAGGGCTAACACCAGCACAACTAGTGAGTCACCCTCTTTGGCTTCACGGCCCTCCTTGGGCAAGTAAACCGAAAGATTTATGGCCTATTAAACCTTTTATACCTCAAGGTGAGTCAATTCCAGAGGCAAAATCAGTAGTTTTAATTTCTACTTGTGATTCAAAATCGAATGTATTATTTGAGTTATCTCGCAAGTTTTCATCATGGAGCAAATATCTTCGGTCTGTTGTTTATTTACTTAAATTTGCTAGAATATTACCTAAAGGGCCTATAAGCGCCGAGGATTTATCTAAGGCTGAAATTCACATAATACGAGCACTTCAAAGTGTTTATTTTACACAAGAATTGGCAGATCTTTCAGCTGCGAACTTGTGTTCTAATTTAGTTAGACAATTGAAACCATTCTTAGATAATGGTGTTATTCGAGTTGGTGGCCGTTTGGATAACGCAGATGTATCCTATGAATTTAGACATCCCTTCTTGTTACCCAGACGTGATCATATTGTAGACATTCTTATTGATTACCATCATAGGAAGAATTGTCACGCAGGGCCTGAAACATTAATGTCCCTTTTGTGTTGCAATTATTGGATTATATCTGCACGACGAATTATTCGTCAGAGAATTCGTCAATGTTATTTTTGCTTTCGCTTAAAACCTCAAGCTCTTTTTCCAATGATGGCTGATTTGCCCTCATGTAGGGTAAATCAAGTAGAAAAACCATTTATTCATACTGGTTGTGATTATGCTGGACCTATTTCATATACGCCTCAGCGTCGTCGTGGTGTTAAAGCCCAGAAGGCGTATATTTGTATATTTACTTGTATGACTACTAGAGCAGTTCATATAGAACTTGCTACCGAACTTAGTACTGCTAGTTTTCTATCGGCTTTCAAGCGTTTCCTGTCCCGTCGTGGTCCGGTAAAATATATGCACTCTGATAACGGAACCAATTTTATCGGTGCCAAATCATACTTACGCGAACTGCATAAATTTTTAGCCAATGAGTATAAAAAATATTGGAAACAAGAGCTCGCGGAAAACCGTATTTCTTGGCAAATGATTTGCAGGAATGCCCCTCATCATGGCGGTAGCTGGGAGAGTATAGTGAAGGGAACGAAAACCCATTTGTATAGGACAATTGGTCAGCAAATATTATCTTATGAGGAATTGGTGCCCGTACTCACACAGATTGAGGCATTGCTAAATTCACGACCACTGTGTGCTCTTCGTTCTGACCCTTCGGAACCCAGGGTTTTAACACCCGCTCATTATCTTAATGTGGTATATATATATATATATATATATATATATATATATATATATATATATATATATATTGGATAAAATCGTACAATCTTTCTGGAAAAGATGGCGAAACGAGTATTTGCACACACTCCAAGTTAGACAAAAATGGAATACACCGTCAGTGCCTATTCAGGAAGGTACGGTTGTTGTATTAATGCAAGACAATATTGCTCCATTGTATTGGCCCCTTGGCCTGATAGTTAAAACCTTTCCGGGAAAGGACAATATAGTACGTATAGCAGTTGTTAAGACTAAAAATGGTACTTATCAACGGCCTGTCGTGAAATTATGTCCTCTTCCTATGCAATAGTATTATTTAATTATAGTTAGTTTAGATACTCCATCAGGAGTCCGTAAAAGTTTAAATATTAGTATAATTTCTTATTATAGTGCGATGTAATAGTTATAGTTGTTATGTTGAAAGGCATCCTTTCAAGGCTGGGGGAGAATGGTGACGCCAGTTTAAAATTAATAACATTATTCATATTAGTATTTGCGCCTACTCGCTTTTCGCTATGGATAAGGGATGGGTACTTTACATGCTCGCAATTTTAGTGGTTATCTGTGGGCTATGGACCGATTGTGTCCGATCTTTGTCGGTGCTGCCCTCTCGCGCCGATGCCCTTTTTTTTCGAACTTCGTTTTGAGTAACCGCGACTGGCCGCTTTCCTACAACTTAATTAAAAAATAATATTTATCGGCTGTGCTCCGTGTCATCTTTCGGACCATCGAACCCCGGATCCTGTAGAGAGCTGCTGGAATTGTTCGCAGGTGAGTACCTATCTTATTTTTGAAATTACGAAAAGCGAGGTAAAAACCAGCCGGCGACCCGGCTCACATATCGAAGGAAATAATTGTTATTCTTATTGAATTGCTTCACCATATATGTATTTGTGATATAAAATGATAAGTTTAGGGAAAAAATACGAGACATGTCTTATAAAAATCTGATATAGAACAAACTTAAAAATAATACATTGTTCTTAAAAACCTCAGTGTCAACAGCCAGTATTAAAACTCCAACATTAACATGTAGGATATCCTGTGTATTGATGCATGCGGGCAAACCTGCGGGAAACAGCTAATAAATGGGTACTTATAAACATCTTAAAACATTTTCAATAATAATACATTATTAACCAATAGCTCTGTGTAACTCTGCGTAAGACAGGATTTTTAATTTTTCAAAACGATGCCCCAAGCTTCTGAATTCGCAATCGGGGCACAAAAGGTTTGGGTAGAACATAAATATTTTAACGACAGTGGAAAGTCAATAGCAATATACGAATTGCTATTTTGGGCGGTTCTTTCACAGTTTATTTTCACAAAATAAAAAAAAAAAAACAGCCGAGTGGAACTATACTCGCGCACCGAGAGATTTGTATAAATTACAATAAAAAAAATTACAAAAGAAAAAAAAAATGTTATGTACTCGTAACTACAAATTTACAGTTTTTGTATTTTTCCCTTTACTTGTACTATAGCACAAGGAAAAAAGAAATATCATAAAATTTATGAATAACATGAAATGAAACATATGACATTGCTTCATTTCTTTAAATGGTGCAATAAAGAGTAAATATGTTATGTCTCTCTCTGTATTATGTGCATGGTACTGTTTATATACATAAGCGACAGTTACCACTTTCCAGCAGGTCGGACGCTAATTTTTTTGCCATTTTAAGTTGCAAAAAAAATTTTATCTAAACTGAAACTAAAAATCTAAACGGACGGGGACGGTTAAAATATCAGCCCGTATGTGCCATCAGTTTGTACAGATTCCAATGCTTCATTTAAGGATTCTTCCGTTGGATTCCGAAGGCAAACTTAGCAATATCGCGCCCCGAGTATTTTTATATTAATTTGTCTGGACGGATCACTTGGAATTTAGCTCTATTTAGCGACTGGTATTTCCAGTATTCTAATTTATTTTTATGCATATAAAATTTTACTTATATATTTTTTTATTCTTGTGATTTTACTTATTTGTTTTAATTAAATTTGAATTATGCGGTAACTCTATACAAGATATGATATATGCTAGCTAGAAATCAGTAGTATAACAGATAAATTGGCATATATAAACTAATTATACTAGAAGCTACCACGATTATTTTCAAAGAGATCGCATGAAGGTTGACGTGAAAGGGTATAGTTTTCCTAATAGGAATTTCAGTTTAGAGACAATTTTTTCCTAATAGGAAAACTATATATTATTACAATTTCCGCATGGTCCTGGCCAAGAATGGGCCATCCCTTCCTTTTCCGTGAGTATCGTAAGAGGCGACTAAAGGAACTTAATGTTTGAGGAATTGGCAGCAGCGTCCATTCTGAAAGATCACCAATAGCAACTACCGACATAACCCCTCTTTATGAGAGAGATATTCAACAGTGCATTGGTTAACGGCCAATATTAGGGGGGAAGGGGATTGTTAGTAATGGAGACTGAGAATCCCATTGCTAGCAGGTCGATCTCCTCGCGGTTCCCCCTGGAAACTATCATGGTTAATTCCAGATGAATTCATCATGATGTCTATAGGCGACGGTTATCACTTTCCATCAGGTGGGCCGTCAGCTTGTTTGCCATTCTAAGTTGTATAAAAAATCAGGTGATTCTCTACGACTCATATTAAGAATATTTCGTACTATATTCAAATCTATAAAATTTAATTTCATGATCTTATAAAGGTAATATGATTTTCAAAGTCCGTGGTCGTGTAAGCGAAACCTTAAAACTATACTTTGAAAAGATTTAATTCAACTCTAGCGCTACTCTCGAAATTACTTTCTGAGGCAACATTGAGTCTAAGTATGGTTTCATAATTCCTTCTTTGTAGATGGGTACTAATATTGTAAAAAGAAAAAAATGTTTTTTAACATTATTGATATATGAAAAATCTTAGATAATTAGTAAGCATGTAACCAAATTTTGTAAAAAATAGACAGAAAGAGACAAAAAAAGTATAGCCATCTAACGTGCTAAAATGGGGGGAAAGGGACTGTTAGCAATGGAGTTTGACAGCCCCATTGCTAGGAATATGCCTTATTAGGTCGACCTCCACGTGAATCCCCCTGGAAACCATCGTGAACAATTCTTGTTGAATTCGTCACGATGGGCTAACTGACCTATTTCAACCTCATCTATCATCCTTCACTGGTGCTCCGCCGGTGTATGTTGATAGGTGAAAATGAAGCAGATCAGTTAGCCCATCGTGACGAATTTCAGTAGAACTAACCACGATAGTTTCCAGGGGGAACCGCGTGGAGGTCGGCCTGATAAATTGTATTTGTATTGCTAGCAATTAGTCATTTAGACCTCATTTTTAACAATCCCTTTCCCCCTACTGAAAGCATCATAACTATTTACATATCTGCACACTGTTACTCTATACACACACATTCAGAAATTGATTTTAATTTATACAGATTCTGTAATACCATAAAGAGGGTATTCAGTAGTTGCCACGCTTGGCAGACGAAAGGCATGACGAATGAAAAAGAGAGAACACAGGAAAATATACATCGTTTTTGAAAACTAACGGATACGCATAATTTTGATCATGTCAGACTTCGAGATGAGAGTTCTTAAGCGTTACGGGTATAAAATTAAAAAAGTTTTTAAATAAGTACTTTCAATCTAAAACTCATACTGTAACCAAGTTAAAATAGAACCTTTAATAAATGAACACAAGTCGGTAAGTTTTAATTGCAAAATGTAATTGAATCCCTAATCAACATTTTAATTAAATTTGATACAACATTCATCGTATTTGAATATCAAACATTTTTTTCTTTAATTTTTTAAACATGTCAAATACGGATTTGAACTAATTTTAAAGTAACCACGTTACAATATCTTCAGTTATTCCAAAACGATGTTAATTATTGTTTTCTAATTGAAAGGGCTTATTGTCGTATATGATATACGACAATAAGCCCTTTCAATTAGCCAATTTTATTACGACTTTAGAATTTTTTTTATACAACTATTTTTTGTATAAAAAAAAGACTTAAAGTATTAGAACTATTTTTGTTATAAGATTATAAAATACCAAAATGAAATATTTTCTTTTAAAGTAAAAAATAAAAAACAAATAACTGAAAAAGTCTCCGATTTTCTTTTCTTTTTAATGTTTTTTTCTTTTCGTAAAATTAAGAGTACGTATACGAGTATACACAGGAACACTATTTTTCTTTAAGAATTTTAGATTTTTTTTTTTCATATATTTTAGAAATAATAAGTATAACCAATTATTTAGTTTTAAACTTTCGCGTTGTTAACATATATATGTTATATATATATATATATATATATATATATATATATATATATATATATATATATTTAAAATATATTTAAATACATTATTGGGACTAAAAAAGATGAAAAAAATGTTTTTACAAGTAAATAGTACCTACAAACCTGCTTTTTTATCGCACCACGACATGGTGCAATCCACGTCGAAACGTCGACAATAAAGAAGCAGATATATAGGTACCTACTATTTACTTGCAAATAAAAATCATCACGTTAAGTCCCAATAGTGTTTTAAGTATAACCAATTACTTTTAAGATGACATAATAAAATAAAATAACTTATATACTGACTAAGTAACGTCATCATATATGTATCAGGCTTTAACTGTCCACTGCTGAACACAAGCCTGCCCCTTGGGGGGTTTTCCCAGTAGTTGCCGCGCATTGGCAACCGCAATTAGGCTTTGAAGATGTTTTAAGAGAAACCATCCCTCGCTCTCCCTTAGAGACTTCTGACGACACCCACGGGAAAGTTATAGCCTATTCTATGCCGGGACCACACGGCGGTAGCAACTAATAAAGTACACCAACACATAAATGTTTTGATTAAAAACACCATTAAAATCGATTCTGAATTTGCGATAGCTTAACATACCTACGTAAAAAGTACAATCTGTCCTTTGTTTGGTTAGGCAAGGGTCGGTCGAAAGGATATTTCAATAATAAATTATTTTGCGCGTTAAATATTATAATTGATATCTACAAATGAAAATAAATGTTAATTTGAAATTTATCTTGTTTTTATTTAATTAAGTACTCATTTTGTTTGTGCTGCATATTGTTAATTCTGCATATTCTTCATAATCTGTATCATACATTGACCACTTAACAGTGTGATGATATTGGATATTGGCACAAATTAAAAATCGTTTCATACATTAAATATTTCCATTTGTCACCCTTAGATTATTACTGTGTCTCCATACAAATGCTTCGAGAAAAGCAGGTAAAGTTTTCATACAATTTTGCGTTTTTTTATTTTTTTTATACCACTGAGGTGGCAAACAAGCATACCGGCCACCTGATGGTAAGCGGTTACCGTAGCCTATGAACGCCTGCAATACCAGGCATTACGCGCGCGTTGCTAACCCCAAAGAAATCTCTTTACCCCCTTTTGAAGAACCCCATGCTGTAGTCTCTTGGGAAAACCTCGGCAGGGAGCTCATTCCATAACCTGTGTATTCGTGGGAGAAAACATCTCTGAAACCGCGTTGTACGCGACCATTTAGGCTGATAAATAAGTTATGAATGTTTCCTTTATAACTTCTATATTTATTTTTTCTTATAATTTTTGCATCTTTTTAATGCGTTAAAAGTAATTTTATTTATTAAATAATTAAATATAGATAGATAGACGTTACAATAAGTGCGTAAGTATAGTACACTGATAAAAAAACAAGTCTACTCATTTAAGAATTAGCCGACAAAAAGTACATCCGTTTTTGAGACTCGATGCTCTTTTTATACAATCTAAGTTGTCATAAATTTTATTAAAACAGTATTTCTGTGCTTTCAACAAAATTTGTCTCGTATGCGTTTGATATCAGTGTTACGTGTATATTACCTATTGCACTAGACGTCCATATTGAAGTCAGTCGAAAATCAACCAGAACATTCCAATTACAACGATATTCCGATAATTCACAAATGTCCAAATACCTGAATGCTACAGCTCTCATGAAAGGCTCAATGAATCAATGTAATTTAACCAACCGAAACTAGGCTTCGCATACTAATACCAGAGCTTTGTTTTGAGACAATATTTTTATAAGACACACAAAATTTTTGAAAATTGTTGTTTTTGCTCCTATTGCTTTTATAAAGATTAGTCGTATATGTTAATGTGAGTATGTTTGTTTGTTTACTGGTGTCTTAACGGATCAATCAGTCTTCATTTAACTTAGTACACTGTATTTGGAATTACGAAGAGAATAGATCACATTTTATCTCATTAAATCTATATATAGAAGACATTGCGGGCATAGGTAAATAAAGAGAAGAAATTATATGTACAGATCTATTTTAGACAATTATTTACTTAGGCAACAGATTAACAATAAACGACTCCCCCATCCTATCAGTCCATATGTCCTTATTTAATCTGTCCTCTACAAACACTTACCTGCTCAACAATCGTATCCCTTCAAACCTCTCCAGACTGGTGTACAAGTATAGTAAATTACTAAATTATTGTCTGGCTAACCTTTGTATTTTGGTTTCGGTTTCGGCTAGTTTTGGTGAAAATATAGAATTTTGGTTTCGGTACAAAATTGGCAGAAACCGAAAAATACGTTTCAGAACTTATTTTCTCTGGCGCTTCGATCGGTCAGGATTTTCTGTAGTTCCCTTTCCTTACACCATGTTTGATATATTGTATAAAGTTTTTTTTTTTTTTTTTATAAATATGCCTTGTATATTTTTCTTTATTAAATAATATCTTGTTAACATTATAAATGTGAAAGTTTATAAGCCTGAATGGATAGATGTCTTCACGGATGGATGAACGTTACTTTGCCATTTCTCCTTCTTAAAAGGAGAGATGGTAATTTTGGTTAAAAAAATAGCCTTTATTGAATCTTCTTGTATAATATATACATCCTTACAGATGGATGGATATATAATGAATATAATGAAAATGTTTGTTGTACCAATAAAAATTTTGTTCCTGTGACCAATATTTATTTATTTAACACTTTATTGTACTATATAAAAAAAAAAATAAATACAATAAATGGCAATGTGAAGTGATACAAATAGCAACCTTATCGCTCAGCGATCTTTTCCAGATAACCTTTGACAATTACTTCTAAAAATAAAACCATTTCAAACTGCGTTGGCGACATCAGCATGAGTATGTTATAATGCTGCTATATTTAATTGTAAATATCAATTTAAAGAGATCGTGATCTTTAGCGCTATTCAATCGTGAGAAATATTTAGATCTATGTATTTAATAAAGGTCCATGCAACGTCATTTTTAAAATAATAAATACCTAATTTAAGATTTAAACTTAAGATTTTTTATGAAACTTAGAATTATAAACAAGTTGACCGCCCACCCGATGGAAGGTGATAACCGTCGCTTATAGGGGGGAAAGGGATTGTTAGTAATGGAATTTGAGAATCCCATTGCTAGCAATAAAACCAGGTCGATTTCCTCGCGGTTCTATGGAAACTATCATTGGTTAATTCCTGATGAATATATCATGAAGGGCTAACTGGCCATGTTTACATTCTCATCTATCACCCTTCACTGGTGCTCCGCCAGCGTATCCCCTTAGCGCAGGCGGGGTTACCATACCATTCTCACCCATCAAAAAAAAAACCGTCGCTTATAGACATGAGCAGTATCATGGATATAACAGTATACTGTTTTGCCCATGATACCCTCCAAGCGTTGTTCTTCACCCGCATGCCCCCACTCTTCAAACCGAAACAAATACAAGTGCTTCATGGTAGAAACACAAATGGGACAGAGGTGCCCAAGCAAACGACTTTTATACAAAGTCTCCCTTTGGTAAACTTAAGATATAAAATATCACGCAAGAGGAAACCATTGACTAAAATATAAAAATAGACCGACATATTAATCTATTTATATCCATAGATACATAGAATCTCTAGGGAGATGATGTAGGTATGAATTACACAAAAGCTCTATATTTGAGATACAACTCAGCAAAAAGAAGTGTGATTTTAAACGCAACAAGTATGGGATCAATATGGAAACAACTATTGCGAGGATAAAAGATTGTTAGTAATGGAGATAGTAGCCCTATTGGTAGCAATATACTCTACTGGGACGACCTTCTCGTGGTTCTCCTGGAAACTATAGCGCTCATTTCATAACGATGGGTTAACTGACTTGCCTTCTCATCCTCACCTATTATTCCTCACTGGTACCGTACCAGCATAAACCGTTAGCGTAGGTAGGATTGCCATTTCATTAACATCAGTTGAAAAAAAAAAACTTCAAGCATTGCCAAAATAATCATCAAAATCAATCCAGAATTAGGAAAGGAATAAAACAGCTGTGCTTGTATAAATATGTATTATATATATATATATACGGTTTGAAGGGTAGAATATTGCAGTAAAATCACATGTTATGGAGGTATAGCGCCATCGTCGTTCTCAGGAACACACGAAGATTAACCACTATTATTATTACTAGAAGTTCCACAACCTTTCGTATCAGTCATCAATATCTAACCGCCATTCCGCCCACGCACGTTTTGCGACACGTGTTAACTCTAAACAAAGCACGTTCAGGCATCTTGGTAGTAGTCAATCTTGGAGTGTTGACAGTCGCACATAAACAAAATAATTTTAACCAACCAACCAGTAATAGGTATTTTCGCAAAAAACACCTAGTTCAGTAAAACAAAATAAATTACTTAAATTAGCCCTACCGAGGCCTAATCGAACTAGGGACTTATTATAAAGTAGTGTTTTATTATTATTTTCGACGTTGATTGTCTACTTCTGAACATAAAAGCCTTTCCCATAAGGGGAGTTTTGCCAGTAGTTGTCACGCTTGGCAGGCGCGTTGGCATCCGCAGTTAGGCTTTTAGAAGGGCGCTGCTGCCCATTCCTCGCCCTCCCTTAGTGGCTTCTTACGACACCCACGGGAAAGGAAGGGGTGGCCCATTCTATGCTGGGGCACACACAGCGAAAATAGCGTACCGTCGCCTAATTATTCCTATTTTAACGATATCCGTTAACCCTGCAAAATAGCGACCCTTTTAAGCCACCCTCTGTTTATTTTGATCGTGAACGAACCAATAAAGGGCGCAATACTTACATAGTTAATACCTAGTTCGTGTCATAGTATTAACTGAATATCTTACTAGTCTTATCTTACTAATTTAATAAAAATGCTAAAAAAAAATAAAAAAATAACTGTATATTTGTTTATGTATTAATAGTTGTAGCACTTCAGCTGCCCGCTAATGACATGCTTTCTCACTGTACTGGGTTGACTGGAAGAGATCTCTGTCAGAGATAAGTCTATCCTGGCTCATAATATTTATAAATACATTATTTTATATGTAACTTAAAAGTGCAATAAAGAATATATATATCGAAAAAATCCACTTTTGTACAATATTCACCAGAGGGAGACTTTGTACAAATGTCGATTGCTTAGGTACCTCTGTCCCATTCGTGTTTCTACCGTTAAGCAGTAGTGTTTGCATTTACAGGGTACAGAGGAATAACACTTGACTCCTCAAGAATGGTAACGCATGAGGGGGGGTATCATGGGCGAAACAGTACACTCTGTTATGTCCATGGTACTGCTCATGTCTATAGGCGACGGTTACCACTTTCCATTAGATGGGCCGTCAGCTTGTTTGCCATTCTAAGTCGTATAAAAAAATCTCCCTCTGGTGGTAATTTACTGCTTTTCATACACAATTTCAAAGACAATGTTTATTGCTTTTTGAATAAATGACTAATAACTAATGCAACTAAACGATACGATTTATGTACATGAAAGATTTTAAAGAAAAAATTGTATGATGCCTCTAAGTAGATCCTAACACAATATTTTTTAGAATTTTTTTGTTTGTCTGTATATGCTTGTATCTTTGTTTCGGCATCATATAAAAACTACTGCACCAAATTGGATGCGGTTTTCATAATTGTATTCCCGAAGGTCTAACTTAAAATGCTGTGTATGTTTCATATATATATTTATATTTTGTATATTTTGTATACTGTTTCGCCCATGTTACTCCCCATGCGTTGCCATCCCTAAGGACTCAGGTGTTATTCCTCTGTACCCAGTAAATTCACGCCATTCAATTCATATTTAGTAGTATTTAAAAATGTTTCAATACTTTCTTGTATTATTGATGCCTACTCAAGACTTCCTATGCCACTGTCTTGGGTTGACTGGAAGAGATCTCTTTTAGAGGTAATTTCAACTCACATTATTTCTATTAATTGTTATTATTACTGTATTTCTGAAGACAATAAATATTATATCATCATCACTATCATTTCAGCAAATAACAGTCCACTGCTGGATATAGGCCTCCCTCATAGACTGCTATAAGGAACCGTCCTGAGCCACCTACATCCATTGACTCTCTTCAATGTATTTGAGGACGTCACTCCATCTAGTGGAGGTCGTCCTACACTGCATTTGCCCGTACGGGGTCGCCACTCAAGAACCTTTCGTCCTCATCGGTTTTCGGTTTTTCGAGCTATGTGACCAGCCCATTGCCACTATTATATAAATTACAAAATTACTAATATCGTTTATTACAGTGCTCCCACCGCCATCAGTCCCCCGACGCCCACTGTGTCCCTACTTCTTGGGTTCACGCTATTAATATCTTTAATATCCGTACTGGGTGTCCATAATACTACGTCACTGGAAGGAGTAATTGAGTTTATGGTAAGCGAAACGAAGGGTGTTTGCTAATTAAGAAACACAGCACACATGGATACGCAAATACACACCCACACACAGACTATATGGTTTAATACAGTGACCATCAAGCGAAGAAAGGTAAGGAATTAGTACACATCTATCTCGGCTGTCTAAGAAACCACTTGTTGACCGTGGAGTAAGTAATAAGAAACAGCGACTAAAACAAAAGTTGTTTTTTATAATACAGTGGGGCAAACGAGCACCTAGCTTGCCTAATAGTA